TCCCTGTCTCCAGCCACGGGGCCTCTCTGCCCACCTAGCCTGTGTCTGCCTGAGGGGTGGACCGGGCACAGCCTCACTACCTCTTGCAGATGGTGACATCTGTCCCTCATCCCCAACACGCATCCTGCCTTTCGGTCAGGACTGCCTCCTTACCACCCCTCCTGCCCCCCATATCCTACCTCCCAGTCTTTGTTCATGCTGGTCCCTGCCAGGAACAGCCCTCCCCCATTCTCTGCATAATTCAGCAGGGAATGGAGAGGACACCTGGGGCCTCCGGTCCCGCCATCTTTGTCACGGTACAGAGAGGAAGAGGGTGGATTGGGCACCTAGATTCTAGTTTCGATGCTAATTAGGGGTTGGGGACAGAGAGCAGTAAACATGTCCTTGGCCCAGGGCTGGGGACCGTCCTCACCTAGGTTTTATGATGTCTCTGCCTCTCTCTTTTACAGAGAAAGGACACATCCCAGAGCCAGCACCCAGCCACCGTCATCCTGTGGCCCACCCATGATGGCTCCCTTCCACAGTCCTGCTCCAGGCCCTCCACAGCCCTCCGATTCCACCCTGGGGAGGGATGGCGGTCCTGCTTCTCATGCTGGGAGAATGAGCCCTGGGTGAGCGGAGGCACGTGGAACTGGCCGGGGAGCCCTTCCTGATCCCAGAACGCCAGGCCACACTCTCCCCTGCTCTGGCCCCGGGTCCTCAGGTCCACTCCTTAGAGCCCAGCATGTCTTGGTCCTGCTCTTGAAGGACAAAAGGGACCCGGAAGCATCCCAGGTGACCTTTCCTGTGGAGTGGGATGTGGTCCCTCCACCTGGTCCCCTGGAGGCACGGATGGAGGCCTCAGGGCTGACCACCAGGCCCCTCCCCAGCTCCTCCTGAGGCTGTGCCTTCAGGCAGGGACTCTTGGGAGGGGTTCTGTCTTGAGTACTCCCTCTCTCATTCCCTCCTGGACAGTTAATGAGCTGGAAGCTTCCATAATGAGGCCACTTCATCATTTAACAAAATGGAACCACCTCAGAGGGAAAGGGACAGGATGGCAGATGTGGCTGGGGAGGTGGCAGAGCCTGGCCACTCCAGGGCCTGCCCAGAGAATCGCCCCTGAGTGGGCGGCTCAGTAAGAGGAAGGGGGCTCTGTCCCCTGTGTCCTGGGGTCCCTGTGACTCTCTGGGCTCCTCCTCCTGGTGCCCCTCCTGGCCACCAGGCTTTGGCAGTGGCGGTTCCTTCTCTGTTGTTCTCGCCTCCCTCCTTGGACTCCCTCAGCCCCTGAACTCCGCCAGCTCCATGAGTGACAATCTGCTCCTCCATCTTCTCCATGGGCCTGGAAGCCCCTCAAGGGCCAGCTCTGTGTCTGGCCAATCTGTTTCCCCAGAATGCAGGGCGGTACCACCCCTACCCCCTAAGCGCTCACTGTGCCCTGACCCTGTGCCGGGCTCAGCTCAGCTGAGAAACTACATCAATCAACCTTCAAGGTCGTCTTGGAGGAGCTGCTGGAGGCAGATGGAACGGGGGCTGGAACAGACAGGAGGACCAGGCCAGCTGTATCTGAAGCTGGCTCCACATTGACTGGCCAGGTGACCTTCACTGAGTTACACAAGCCGTGTGCCTCAGTTTCCCCAGGTAAAATGGAGTGAGTAAGGATAGTTCCTGCATCATGAGGTGACTCTAAGGATAGAAGGAATGAACGCACAGCTATGTATGTGCACACGTGAACACACGTGCACATGCGTGCACACACACACACACACACATTGAACCCAGGGCCTAGCATGTCCTGAGGGCTACATGAGGCAGCTCTTCGCCCCATCCCCATTTGGCAGGTGAGAAAAGCTTCCTCCTCCCTCCATCCTTCCCATCCCATGGGCCTAAGTGGACCCAGGAAGCTCCAATAAATGCCTGAGAGTTTGTTTAGCACAGACTTTTTCTGCTGATGGAGGGGCGTTTTAGTCACTGTGTGTAAATCAGTTGCATCTCTCTGTGTAGCAACAACCACAAACACAGCAAGTGAAATGTAAATTCTATTTAGTATCCTAACAACCTCCCAAATACACCCCAAAATCCAACCCAGCAAAGTGTACAAAGTCCTCTCTGTGAGACGAAATGAAAATGGTCAAAATACTCCAACAGGCAGTTCCCCGTAGATTCATGAGAATCAATAAGCTCATGACAAGATGGACAATATTCCTAGTTCACAGGGACATGCCCAATAAATCCACAATGAGGTACTCCATTCCCACGAACGGGGATAAAATGGGTGTAACCGACCGTACCAGAGTGCTGTCGCCGCCGGGGCTCCCCTGCATGCGGACGGGAAGGCGGGCAGGTGCAGCTACTTTGGAAAACAAATTTGGCGGCCTCTCGTGCAGTTAAACCTCTACTATCCATGACGGTGTTTCTGGCTCTTTTCCCCAGAGAAATGAAGCACACACCCACAAGAGGTCTATTACAAGCAGTTTTATTTGTATTAGCCCCAATGTGGGAGCCACTCAGAACGCCCATTTCTTCCGAGTTTCTCTGGAGATATTCACTCATTAAATCCCTTACAGGTGAAGTGGGTCTGCATCGGTCTGCATCAGCTGCCAGCCTCTGGCCCCACCCACCCCTGGACCAATCACTGTGCCAGACGAATGCAAAGCGGATTGGCTGAGTCTGGGGCTCCGCCCACCATGAACTGGCCAGTAGCATCGTTTTTTGAAGAACCAGGAAAAGTGAGAAGGCTGAGCCAGGGTCCCAGGGAAAAAGGGGCCAGATGGGAGGAACGTGCACCTGTGGCTGCCAGTGGACTCAGAGTTGGGGGAGTTGAGGAAGGTCCTATGGGACCTGCCCAGAGCCCAGCCAACTTTTTCCAGCTGTGGTGAGCGGTAGCTGCTACCAGCTCACAGCTGGACCCTTTACCGGAGAACTGTCCTCAGCTGGACTGAGCCAACGGTGACTCGCTTAGGAATGCGGGGCTGTTCCTGGGCTCACTGGGATGATCCCTGGCTCATCACTGACTGACAGGGTTACAGGGATCCAGCTCGTGGCCCTTGGTGGGACAGCCATGAGCTGCCACATGGCACTAGAGCTCCGCAGCTGAGCCCACAGCCTTGCCCGCCCTGTGCTGCCCCTTCTCCTGAGAGTAGCCCCCAGTCATCTTGCATGTCCTGTGAAGCCCTTCTCGGCTCAGCTTCTAGGAAGCCCAGCCTAGGCAGAGGTCCACTCTGGCCCTCATCTACAGGTTTAGGTCATGTTCTTCCCCAAGCCGGGGCATTAGTCCCACCTCACAGGCTCTGAGGAAGGTAGAGGGATTCTCAGGATCTTGTTGAACCCAAACTCCTGCCACTGTCTCATTTCAATTCTCCTCGCCTCTGCTCTGGGTCCATAGGAAACTCAATATCCAAATCTCTGCTCGAGGTTATAAACAAGCCCCAGAAAGAAAGAAAACCAGGGTCTCCCAAGGCAGCCAGGGTCTATTGGCAAATGCCACATTCCTAGGCAACCAGTATCTATGTCTTATTTTTGTATGGATGCACAGAACTAAGCTGATTAATATATTTTTCATCCCCTCTTCAGGTCTTGAACTACAATGACAATCTTTTTGCCTCATGGCAAACTGGTTACCAGGTTTCAATAACGGCTTTATCTTTGCAAAGACAATTCATTAATAGATTTACAAGGGAGAGAAGATGGCGCAGTCTGTCGAAAAGGATTGTTTTGCATTTCTCTTCTTTTAATTACAGAGTTATCTCCTGGACCAAAGCTCTTTGAAAAACAGGGAGAAAAAATAGACACCCCCCTCCATCTGTTCCAGATACGAATGCAATTAATACGGGAGACAGGCACTGTGCAGGGCCTTCCTGCTCACTGAGACCAGAAACCTCCTCCCCGGAGCTGCCTGGTGGCTGGCAGGCCTCGGCCACTGGAACTCCATTGGCGTCAGACATGTTGGCATGGGGAAGGCTGCTCTGCTCATGGGGATGCAACATGGGGTGATTTGGGTCAGATAGTTTGGGTCCTCTATTGAGTACCATGGACACCTTCTATGTGCCAGGGGCTTCAGCTGGATTTTCTAATTTAGATCTTGCAGTGATCCATTTTACAGACAGAGTAACCAAGGTAGACCAATGTGTGCAGGGCACTGGACCTGGTGCAGGTAGCAGTTTCCAGGTGTTGAAGGAGACTCAGAGATATCCAGGACTCAGAGATGTGGGGCTGAAACCAGAGGTCAGGCCTGTTCCTTGTAAATTTCCTGCTATGTCCATTTCCTCTGTGCGCTATTTGGTGAATCTTTCTGGCCCCAGTTTCCCCGTCTCTGGAATGATCCCCAGACATAATGAGCGCGAGGTCAACTTAGGCTCAAGTGGAATATTGTGAAGAACATGGTCCTGCAAAGGGTAGGGGGGCTGGCATGGGGGTGTCTCCGTGATTCCCGGAATGAGGGGCATATGGTCCCTGGCACCAGGGTAAACTCAGGTCTGGTCAGGAGCTGGTTTTATCCCTGTCACTTGAGGCACATCAACAGCATCTAATCCCTTCACCCTCCTCCTCCCACTGGCTCTGGAGGCGACAGTGACCTCTCTCTTGGGCCAAACCCTACGAAAGAAGACTACATTTTGGAGAATGTCTGTCCTCCTTTTCCAACCTGGACTGCTGTCAGAGGTTGTCAGGGTGAGGGTCCCTAAATGGACTTCTCTTTGGTCTCCTGGCTCAGAGCAAATTCGGAGGCTTTGCTGGCCGGGGTGTGACAGCCCAGACTGCACAGTGAGGAGGGCTGGGAGTGGTCAGGTCATGATGACCAAGGGTGCCCCAGAACCTTGTCAACTTTTTTACAGGACTTATCAAACCTTTCCTGTAAAGGCCAGTTAAGAAATATTTTAGGATAATTTTTATATAATTTAGAACAAACCAAGCATCTAATGTAGGCATTTATGTGACCAGAGAGAAAACACATTACTACATGTTTTAGTTGACAAAATTGAAAACTGGATTTTGAATTTCATATAATATTCACATGTCACAAAAGATTATTCTTCTCTAAATTATTTTTTAATCATTTAAAAAGGTTCAGAAAAACTTCTTAGATCCTGAGCTGCACAATAACAGGCAGCATCCCCGATGTGGCCCTGTGGCGGTAGTTTGCAGGCCCACAGTCCGTTACTGCGTCTGGGCTGTGGATTCCCCTGCGAGCCCTTGCTGGATGGGGCTCAGGGGCCTTCTGCACAGGGTCACGGTGTTCGGCGTCGTCAGTAGAGGGCGCTGGAGGGACACGGCGAGAAAGCTGTTGGGCATCTTCCTGCTCCTTCTGCAACCTTCTCTCAGAGGGAGGAAGCCAGTAGGCATCGCCCCAGCTGTGCCCCAGCCTGCATGACCCGCAGCAAGCCCGTCCTGGGTCTGGTGACCACCTTGCTGTGACCCTCCTGATGCTCCACCTGCAGTAGTCCCCCCTCGCTCTCCCTTGGATCCTGACAGGTGTGTCCAGCATGGGCTCCTCCAGGAAGCAACCGTGGTCTCTGCCAACGCGGGGGGCGGGGCGGGCTGCAACCACAGACCTCCACGAGACCTGAACCCCACCTTCCAAGGTGGTGTCAGCCCTAGGATTCTGTTCATGTTGGCTCCTGCCTCCCACCAGCCACTGCCCTCCCATAGCTCTTTCTTTATAATAAATGCCACCCCTTCAGATCACTGTGCTGCGGTTCCTGTGTCCTGACTGAACTCTGACCCATGGGTTCCAAGAAGCCTGCAGGCACCAGGAGAGATCAGGGTCTCCATGATTCAAAGAGCAGCCCGGGAGTCTGGCTCTGTGGCCCTGTGGGCACTGACCATGAGCCATGCAGCTGTGGCCCTGTGGCTGTGCCTCCCAGAGGCTCAGGGTGACCCCTGGGAGATGGGGAGCATGATTCCTTCAGCAGCAGGATGTGGAGCCCCCAAAGAGCCAGTGGGTATAGAGTGCAGGGCCCAGGGAGCTGGCGCTCAAGGTGGCCGACCTGCAGCTCTGTAAGGTTGTGAAGATTAAATAGGACCACGTTCGAGGGTCCCCAAGGGCTGGGAGGGGCGGGGCGCAAAACGCACCCTCCCCTGCTCCCCCTCTCCCAGGACACCCCTCCCTCAAGGCCCTGGTTTGTCTCCCCAGGTCCCACAGACTCTGGGGTCTGAGATGTCTCCTTGGGTACGTCCAGGAGCTGCCTGTCACCTCGGTCTGTGAGGTTACTATGGCAGCCACCCCAGCGCAGGCCGGAAGTGGAAAACAGGTCGGAGCCTAATGAGGCCGCTCAGCTCTGGTCTGTCCCCTGACGCTCTGGCTGCACAGGGCATCGTCCCCACACTAGGCTGCTGGCTGCTGGCTGCGGCTTGGACCTAAGGCCTGCCCTGCCTTGGCCTGGGGCAGGCGAGGCCCCTCTGCTCATGTCCTCCTGAGACAGTGACTTGAGGAGTATCCTGCTGCCTGGTCCCTGTGAGCCCTGGTCCTGGCCCTGAGCCACCCTCCCTCTCCTCTCCCAAGCAGCTCCGTCCCCACCCTGGAGCAGGCAGGCGAGGGGTGTGGGGTACTGATGGGGGCTTCCTGGGGTGGGTGGGGATGTCTGCACCCCTGGAACCCTGGCTGCCTTTTCCACCCAGTCAGGTGTGACCCTGGTGGCCGTGAACCACTGTCTCTGGGCCCCACTGTGGCCTAGACGGTCTGCCTGTGGCTCAGGCTCGGGAGGTCCCCCCTTGATCCTCCTAGAGTCATGCTATTGCTGGCACCAGCTCCTGCCTTGGTGTGTCACTCAATGGTGTCACTCAATGCTGGAATCTGATAGTGAGACCAGGTCCCTTGGAAGAATTAGCAGCTCCCTGAGGCCCTGCTTTGGGGTCCCTGTGGCTTCCTTGTAAGTAGCACTACTTTGGAGAGAACAGGAACCCTGGCCTATCCAGGGCTCTTCAGCAGTGGATAGGGCAGCTGAGGCCCCCAAAGGGGACAGGCACCACACAGGGAGAAGGCAGAGTGGCTGCTCTCTGCATCCTGGAAGTGGGAGAGGGCACAGGCCTACAGGGCCCTGAGCTCTACACTGGAAGATGCTGGAAGCCTCTGAGGAAGAGCCTGGGTTGTGAGCCTGGGTCCCCTGCCCCATGGGTCAGATCCCAGCCCCCTGCAGCTCACAGGGGCTCAGGCCAGGCCAGGGGCATTTCTGGGAGGTTCCTGAGGTACAGAGTGGAGTGTCTCACCTCCAAGGCTGGGGCTGCTGGGCTCTGCACCCTGGATCCCTCTGCTGTAGGCACCCGGCCCCTGCCTCCCTGCTCAGGGACTGGTATGGAGGCCTCCTGGGACGTCCTGGGGAACTCAAGCAAGGCCCAGCTCCTCCGGAATTCTAGCCTCTCTCTGCCCAGGAAGAGAATCTTCCAGAGAAGCTGAACAGGGCCTGGCAGGACAGCCCTGTTCAGAGCCCACAGAGAGCACCGCAGACCAGACAGTGGCTGTGGGAGGGGCCCTGTGGAGTGGGCGGCCATCAGAGGAGGAGACAGGCTGAGTGACAGCGGGCCCCTGGTTCCCACTCCTGCTGCTTCTTATCTGAGCGAACTGCACCAGAAAATTTCTGCTGGCATCTGAGTGCGCCTGCTGTCCTCCTGTAATTAATATCCCAGGGGAAAATCTGCTCAGCTGGGTGTCCGTCTGCTGGGGCCTTGGCCCCCTGGGCTTTGTCCCCTGGGGCTTCAGGGCCCATTTAGCCCTGGTGAGGAGCAGACGCAGGAGTCCCTGGGGTTGGATTAACCTGGGTTAGTTCAATAGACAGCTCCGCTGGGGAGCTGGGCGGCAGTCAGGGTGCACACACACACCACCGGTCCTGGCCTGGGGTGAGGAGAGAAGCCAGGCGGCTCCCCAGTCCCCTCCCTGGGCTGGAGATCCATTCTCCAGGAGGTGAGTGGAGGAATCCAGAAGGCAGTTTGCAGGCTCCTTCCTGGGAGGGCTAGTTCTGCTGGCAGGTTGACCAGGCTCAGGTGGAGGAGGGGAGCCCCTCAGGTGGGGGCTTCTGGGATGTTTGGTTCACCCCCCAGAACCCTGGATCCTCGAGGGGAGAGTCTGGGGTGAACCCGGGCCATGGCAGGGGAGTGGGGCGGAATGAATCAGTAACCAGGACCCCAGAGATCCCCTGCTCCACCTTGTCCTCCTGCAGATCCTGAGGCACCAGGAGGTCTGGAACCGTCCTCCTCTCGCTGCGGGGGATTTTCGGATCTCGCCATCTCACCGTCCCTCCGCGGCATCTGCATCACGGAATCTTGGGCTCAGAGCTTCTCTCACAGACTCAGCTGCGCCCTCGTGGAGACTGACTGCACACTCCCAGCGCCCCCCTTTCACGGAGCCTGGAACTGCAGGATCACAGACGTCTGCGGAGAGTGAGAACCAAAGACTTAGGAATGGAGGGTCCCTCGGGAGGCCCTGCGACGCCACTCTGTGCCACCCCAGGAATGCAGGGTGGAGTTGAAATTGGCACAGGGTCAGAACCTCAGCCCAGCTCCACCTGGTGACGCAGAAGCCCCCTCCTCTGGGTCCTATGAACAATAACTTGAAATCCTACAGGAACAGGAGGTCACCACCTGACAGGGCCACCTGACGGCTGAAGCGGAGCCTGAAGTTGCTTCCTGTGACCACCCACCCCTCTGTCCTGGCCCTGCCTGACACGAGCAGCCAACCCAGAGGCCACACCTGGCCTGGCGCAGCTTGACCTGAATCCCCAGGGCGGAGATGGCCACCAGGACATGGGAATGTGACGAGGCCACTGTGCTCCAGGGACCCTCATCCCTCACCTCCTCTCCTGGAGGAGGAGCAGTCAGGGAGAGGGCGCCAGGCGGGAAAGGCCACCTGGAGAGGATGCTCACTTGTGCCCTTCGGGTCCCCAGAGGTGGGGCAGATCCAGTCACAGAGGGAGACTCCTGTAGCTTTCAGTACTGGTGGCAGCCATTGCGTCTGTGCCTGTTGTCCTTGCTCCGTCAGTCTCTTGTGCTCCTCTGGCTGCTCCCTAGGTGGCTGACCTTCACCACTGTGAGCCGATGCAGCATGATGGGGTGGCAGGTCCGGGGATGGGGTTGGGGAAAACCTGGGAAGGGTCTCGCAAATCAGCAAACCTCCTGGGAGGGCCCAAGGCAGCCTAGCAGGGTGGGCAGCCTGGCTCCAGCCCCCAGCAGGGGTCTCCTCAGTCCTGCCTGGAGCTCAGCCTCTCTCACCCGCAGCCTTCCCCTGCTCTGAATTCCTGCTCTCCCCGTGGGGTCTCTGCTGGGGTCTCTGCTGGCCCGTGGGCTGCCCCCAGGGTCTCCATGCTAAAGTTCCTTAAAAAGAACTCGGCGCCCTGGACTAATCCCTGCTTTCTACCAGGCAGGGAAATGTTGGTTCCCACCCCTGTCTCAGAGCTCCAGAACCGAGGCACTGAACCCTCATTAATAAGACAGAACCATTCTGAAATTCTGTTGGCTGTTCGCAGGTGTTATGATCAGCAAGGGAGGAAGAGAGAGGAAAGCAGAGAAGGAAAGAGGGAACAAGTCCATTCGGCTGGCGGGAGGGAATCTCAGGGCTTGGGAACACACAGCCAGCCCAGTCATCCCAGGCAGGGACAGCGGTGACCATGGGGGGAGGGCAGTAAAACCTGCACAAATGATTTCCGTTTCTAGACCTCTGTTATCCAGACACACTCCACCCTCCACGTGGAGGTAGAAAGTGGATTTGTTTAAAGAAAATAAAATGGGGAGGGGGGGCTCTCTGTGTCCTGCGTACAAATGGGTAGGACAAATGACAGCCCGTGCCGGGCCACTGCTATCCCACAGGGCACCACAGCCCCAGGGCTGTAGACAGGGTGCTTCCCTTCAAACCGTGACGGGGTCAGGTGGTCTCATGGGGAAAGGCGCTGGCCGTGGAGCTGCAGGGACTCTGTGGGGGCCCTGGGCGGGGCACTCCAGCAGGACAGGCGCAGCTTCTGCCAGTCCCAGGGCCTCCCGGGCCTGTGGGTGGAAATGCCGCAGGCAGCAGGTAGAGAAGGACCTTGCCAGCTCTGCGTTCCTTCTGGGTCCCCCTCCCTGCACCCTACAGGGAGCTGTGGTCCTGTACACCCACCTCTGAGGGCTCATGGAGGGTCTCTGGTGGCTCCCAGGCCAACCAGCCGGGTGGAGGCTGCTCTGATCCTCTTCCTGCTGCCACCGATCTGTGCTGGAAGCCACTGGAGGGGCTTCCCAGAGCCTCGGGGCCTGGGTTCTCCTGTGCCTGGAGCTGCCCATCCTCCAGCCTCCAGAACGGGGAGGGGGTGCTGGGTCCTGAGCGCCAAGTTGAGTGCCAGCCCTTGAGGACAGTGAGGTCACACAGATACACAAACAGCGTTCTTAATTGGAGACTTCAAGACCAGAGAGGTGTGGGGACACCTGCTGGACCCCGCAAAACCCAACTTCCTGGGGGTAGGAACAGCCACGTGCCCCAGGGTGGGCATTTCCACTCAGAAAAGCCCAAGTCTAAAGGAGCAGCCTGCCAGTCCCCCTCCCCACCTCACCCCCAGCCTCAGCCTGCACCATCCTCTCCCAAGAAGCCACACCCAGGAACATCCTGATCTCCAGCTGAGCCCAGCTGTGACCTTGAGCCAAAGCCCCCCCTTCGATCTTGACCCCCCTGCATTGCTCACATTTGCCCCCAGGGCTACCCTGAGGGCATGCGGGCCCAAGCCTCTGTTTGAAGAAACCCTCCAGGATTTGGGGGTTCCCCACGTGAAGGCAGTGACCTAGGACCCGCAGTGGGGCTGACCCAGAGGAGCACTGACCACTCTGTGTTCGGAGGTGATTCTGGCAGCTGAAACTGCAGAGGGGAGAAAAGGGTCACGTTGTGTCTGGAACTAATTTGTGTGATTTTTCACTCATTTCTTGACATAGCCAGTTTTTTTGCCTAGTAAAGTGATAAAAAAAAAAAGGTTGATATTTAAGAGGTGTCCCTGGAGGCTGTGTGACTGTGGCAGCAGGGAAGAGGGACAGACCATAGTAGGTACTGTTCCCTTAATGACTTGCTGTGTGATCTGGGGCAGGTTGCTTACTGTCTCTGAGCCCAGGAAGGTCTCAGAGATAACCCAGTTCAACTCCATTTTTCATGGATAGGAGAGGAGGCTGGGAGGGTGAGTGACTTGCAGGAGGCCCCCCAACTGGACCCCAGCTCCTTCTCACCTGCTGGGTCATCTTGAGCTAGTGATCCGACTTCTCTGAGCCTCGGTCTCTTCATTTCAGGAAGCCCACTCGCAGAGAAGCAATTCGTCAATTGGGTGGGGCGGGTTCCTTCCACAGCCACTGAGGGAAGTACCAGGTTTCGCCCGCGTGCTCTGCCCTCCAGACCTGCTGTTTGTCTCTGCTTCTGCCTCTCTGGTGAAGCAGCTGCCTGGCTTTGAGGCCCAGAGCAGGGCTAAGGTGCCTGCCTGTCTCTGGACATTGCATGGATCAGTGAGCAAATTGATTTGGGTAAATTGGTCATTTGGTGAATTGGCTATTTGTTAAATGGATTTTTAGCAAATCAAACCAGAATCTCTAAGGGCTGCTCAGAGGTGAAGTGAGATGGGTGTGGGAGGCGCTGAGAGGAGGCAGCACCGCCGGCCCCTCGCTGACCGCCCTGATTATTACTAAGGCTGCTGCGGCAGGGACAGGGTCCTGCAGGTGCCGGTGAGGGAGGGTGGGCTTGGTGGAGAGGTACGGGGGCTGCAGGATCAGAGCCAGGCCTCAGGTGACTGAAGGCAGAGGCTCCCATTAGGAACCAGGTCAGACCAATTCACAGCACCCAGGGCCAAGCTCAGGCCTGCAGGCGAGGAAGGAGGAGGGCTGGGGTCAAGCTCCCCTCCACAGCATTGGTCCCTGAGCCCAGAGGGGAGGGACACAGGCTGAGGGTGGGGATGGGGTGCCAGGCAGCCAGGTCCTCGGTCCAGGCCTGAGGGCCTCTTCCTCCCCTGAGCCCTTTCTCTAAAGGCTGATCCAGCTCCAAGCTGCAGGCTGAGGTCACCTGTAAGGAGGATGAGTCCTTGCTTTGGAACAGCTGCACCCCTGAGCACCTGTTCCCCTGGGATCAGCAGGGTCACCTCCAGAGCCCCTGACAGGGCCACCCTGGTCCAGCACACCTAGACACACCTGTCCAGAGAGGTGCACCTGCCTGGGTCAGCCCAGCACAAAGGGGACAGGGCCTTCCAGTCCTCAGAGTGACGCAGGGGGCCAGTCTCGTGCCTTGTCTTTCGGTGTCCTATTGACACAGGCAGGTGACACAACTGAACTGAGATTCCCCACATATTTTTCAGTTCCTTTGGACAAAAACCAGTTTCTTTGTTTTGAAGCCCATTAGGCTGGGCTCTTCTACCAGCGATGACTGACACAGCCCACGTGACTTTGCCCTTGCTAAATTCTTGCAGGGGAGCTGTGGCGCCAGGGTTCCCTGCTTCCTCCCAAGTCACCAGCGCAACCCTCTGAGTCATTGTCCCCTGCTGACTGATGAGATGGGGCCTCCCAAGACCACAGACTGGCCTGGCTGTCCTCCTACCCCCAGCCCCAGGAGTTCAGGGCTGTCAGGACAGAGGCAGAGGGGCATCCTCCAGTCCTCTCCCCAGGCCATCTGCAAGAGCCCATGACGTGGGGCTAGACCCAAGACTGGAAAAGGCCAGATCTAGACACACGGGATCGTCAAACAGTAGTTCACCAAGCTCCTCTGAAGTTTATGAGCTGCCAGAAATCTTGAAAATACCCCGCTAGATTAAAGGCTTGTGCTGTCTCTGCATCTGCACGACAGTTGAACTCCATCCCCTCTCCCCCACCCTTCCTGAGGGGGGAGCCCCCACCTCAAAACTCTGTCCCTGCCCCTTGAGCTGAGCCCACCCCCACCTCTCTCTCCCTCTCTGTGCAGGAGCCCCTGGGGAGCCGGGGAAGGGCCCTCTGCAGACGCTGACGCTCCCCAGGCCCCTGCTTCTGAGTGTGTGGGGCCCAGGGCTCTTGACTTTAGCTTGCTCTGCCCTAAGTGCCAGGGCCACACTGATGCTGGCCAAAGGCCCTCCTCTGTGGCACTGTCCCTGCCTGGCCTCTGCAGGAGCTGGGAAGGACCCGTCTCCTGGCTCTCCTGGACACCCACCGCTCCAGGAGCAGGGGCATTGCAAGTCACCCAGGGAGCAGGAAGCCGAGATGGGCTTTGCCGTGTGACTCAAGAGGAACGCAGTGTGAGAACCCAGGCCGCGGCCCTCACGCAGCTGGGTGGACTGGGGGCTCCCGGTGCACGGTGCTGCTCACATTGCCTGCCACTCCCCAACTCCTGCCTGCTGCCGTGAGCAGGTCTCCCCAGCCCAGATCTGTCCCTCTCAGCCCTGGCTCTTCTCATTGCTGCAGGTGGCCTCTGAGGTTCTGTCACTCATTTCTTCAGCAATCATGGCTGAGGACCCACCGGGAGCAGGGCCTTGGGACGCTTGAGGTCCAGCAGAGGCTGAAAAAAGATAGTACTGGGCACTGGGGACAGAGGGGTGCGGGAGAGTTGGAGAGGGGATGGCCAGCATGGCTGGAGGGGTCCCAGGGGTGGGCACTGGGCTCCTGCTCATTGGGACTGAAACCTACGGCTGCTTTAGTCAGAGGTGAGAGCAGGGAGGGGACACCAGGGCCTGAGGGGCAGACCACAGGCCCCCTCTGACTCATCTCAGCCCATCCCCCTCCCCCTTCTCCTCTGTGATCCCCCTTCTCTCTGTCCTGTCTGGAGGCCAGAAGGGCACCAAGGTCTGGCTCCCAGGCCTGACCCAAGTCCGTTTGGCCCACCTAGGTCAGGTGTTTCTCCTGTCATCCAATCATCTGGGGGGGGTGGTCACAAGGTGCCAGCCCAGTTGTCAGGTCCCCTCCTGGGTCCAAGCTAGGGAGGGAGGAGAGTGCCCTGCTCTAGAGAGGGACTGGTCAGCACAGGGCCAGAGAGGGCGCCGCTGAGCCGGATGCTGTGAAGCCACAGGGAAATGGCAAGTGATGGGGGGGGGTGTGTCACCATGCCAGGACAGGAGGTGGCAGGTGAGTCAGAAAGAATGTCACTGTGCCAGGACAGGAAGGGTCAGCTTACTGCCACCCGGAGCTGGCCCCTGACTGCTGCTGGGCCCTTTTCATTTGGTGTCCGTTCTCCTGGGTGGGAGGGAACATCATTCCCTTCTAGAACCTCCTGTTTTTCTTGCACTTCCTTGTCACAGCCTGTAATGGTCTAAGTCATTATTCTAATCCTTGGATCATTGTCACTGTAACTACTGGGACGTCGGTGCCAGGAGGGCAGGCCCATCTGTCTTCATGGCTGTAGTCCTGGGGCTCAGAGCGCTGCTGGGGCCATGGAGGTGCCCAGTGGGTGTGTGTGTGGGAGGAGGGGGAGAGAGGGGTGGAGGGGGAAATAGGGGGCAGGGGAGAGAGGACAGGCTGGGGACAGCTGCTCATGGAAGAGGCAGCAGAGGCCCGGCTCAGTGCTGAGGCCCCTGTGTTGATATGGGTGACCACAGCATCCCCTGTTGTCTTCTGGTCCTCGTGGGGACCCTCGGAGGAGGCCGCAGAGCGCCAGGACCCACGGCCGGTAGCGAGCAAGCTAGGACGTGAGACCAGCCCGGCTGACTCGGGCGCACACTGGGCACCTCACACTATGCTGCCCCACTGTGCGCCAGGCCCCGTGCTGGGGACGCAGAGATGAAGGACACCTGTCCTGCCCTGTGAGTCCCCGAAAATCAGGGGCGGAGGGACTGACAGGAGGGATGGAGGCGCCAGTGTTTGGTGGCTCCCTGTGTGGCCGTCACCTACAGAAGGGGAAACTGAGGCCTGGACGGGGGCAGGTGTTTGCCTGTGGTGCCAGGGCAGGTCCCCTGGAGGGGAGGGTGAAGGACAGATGCTGAGGGTGGGTTGGGCAGTGTCTGCCCACTGAGGACCTGGTGATGAGTCATCCTGTGGCTCCATGGGATTCAGGGGGCAGCCGTGTGCAGGTGGATGGAGGGGAGACAGGGCAGGGAGGAGCTGTGCCCTTGAATTCCAGTCCTGTTGACAAGATGTCACAGCAGGTGGTCGGAAAGGAGAATACAAGAGCCACAGCAGCCAACCCCAGCCAGCAAGTGTCTATCACTGCGGAGTTTGGTCTGCACTGAGACAGGACCTGGAGCTTTTAAAAATGAAATGTTATGAAGTCTTCACTTTGTAGGAG